TATATGTATGTATATGTATGTATGTATGTAAGCATGTATGTATTTATGTATCTATATTTGTATGCATGAATTTATGTATGTATGGACATGTAAATGTGTTGAAATGGGTACCAAAATGTGTTAAATCAGATATCTATCGTAAACAAAAAGCCAATTCTGCGGCTGAATTCTCGAATAACGCCATTCATCCTTGGCAAAAACCGGCGTAGTATAGCGTCAGCTGTATGTCGTCCAAACTCAGTCCGTTTAGGCTAAGGCCACGGCTGCATGGTGTGTATTTACCGGCATGGGTACATCTGGTGCTGATAACGTTTCCTGCCCCACTTCCTGACTATACCGCAAAGTATCACATCATAAATCATTACTTAATGTTTTAACATCTACGCGCACTGGACAGTCGAAGAAGAAATGGCAAAGACGACTGGCAATGGTGGAGGCTATTGACCAGTTCATCATTTCGGATCGTAGAGCCTATCTACAACAACTGGAAAATGAACGGAAGAGCTTCAAAAAGAAGGTATACTAAGCTTGCATGTGACTTTAAATTGATACGTATGGCTCTCTATTCAAACATGCGCCTTTCTATTAATACACATAGTTTGTGTAGTTTCATCTGATTTGTTTGTTGGTCGGGTTTGCAATTCATAAAGTAGCTAGTGACTTGATGGTTATAATATGAGTATTGAATCTCATAGTACCCCATTCGCCTCTGATTCTGTGCCATCGAACCCGTTGCGGACGTTCACTCGATACAGACAGGTGTCTTCCTATGTACACACATGTATACTTGCCCGTTTGCAACCGCCTTATATTGCACGAATACTCGTGGTTGCCTCAACAAACCCCTTGTATTCGCATCCACCGGCTCAAGACTTTAACCGTTAACGCCGTGTTCCAGACGCCTATGTGATTAAGTCAAGTTTGTGTATCGTCGCATAGCAAGGCCTTCTGGCGGTTTAGTACTCACAGAACACGGGTGTATCCTAGTGGTGGTAAAGAGCTCTGGGTTGTTTGTTAATTTATTGTTATATATATGGACAGACAAAGTACTCGTATGCAGTCTCTTTATCAGGATGGGTTGTTCTTGTTGTGCTTCAGTGCTATGCTCGTATCTATTTGACGTTGGTTGATAGCAGGGCAGCCTTGCACCCTTTCGGTATACCTTTGGAGGGCACATACAAATGACATTTTGCACCTCAACCCTGTCCAGAATCTCGAGTGGGACACCTATTTAAACTTGGGGTTTTTTTAAATTTGTTGCATCCAGCTTAAGACACTAGACGCCAGCCTTCAGGCGAAGACGGACAAGAAGGTTAAAGCGAAGAAGAATGAATATGAAAAACTCAAGCGCGTTATGAGCAAGTCTGAGAGGCGTGTATTTATTGAGGAGTACAGGATCAAACTACAGGACGAGAATGCGAAGCAGCACAAGGTGTGTATGTACTAGTGACATTATGGTGTCTGTGTGTACAAGTCTTGCTATGTGTGACCCCGCCAGTTCGTAGTTGGTTCGTGAACACGGCTGTCTCTACCTATTATATGCGCAAAATTCTTTGTTATACGGATTGTATACACTGATATATATTAAAAAATATCTTGTTTATATTTACTTATTTAAGATTGTGTTCTTATATTTTGGTTTCTATGTTTAGATTTTGAGCACGAGCTTTGAATACGCTTTCGAACTGCGTGTCGGTTGCTGTGCATAATATGAAAATGGTTCGTTGAAGCTTTTAATTATCTCGTTGATAACCCAATATAAATATACATATA